TTTTATCCTAAAACCCAGCCCAGCCCATGTCACATGTAAGAACACTAGGCCTAGGTTTCATAATTATGCTGTGAAGAAGGGAGTGAGGATTCATGGGTAAAATCACCAGGTCTTGAATGGGAAAATCACAAATCAGCCTCCATCTTGTTTCCTGTTTTGGAGCAGCATTTATTCCAAATCTGAACCCTTTTTTCTCTCCTTTTCCTCACATAATCATGCGTAACGGTGGATGAATTATATTAAAACAGAACAGAAAAAATACTGAATTGTAGCATCAGGATTTATTTACTCGTACAAATCGGAGACAATTCAATTTCCCGTCCCCATATATACACTACCCTGCCATGCACAAATCATTGATTTATCGACTGGTGTTTTAGTTTTTCTCATTACAATTACTCTTCTTCTTTCTACATAGTTTCTCTCGAAACATCTCAATGGCTAGCGCAGGACAAACTTTGAACCGGCCAACTCTCCCTGCTGGCTACAGATTTAGCCCTAACAATGATGATCTTATTGTTTATTATTTGAGGAGAAAAATTCTGGGCCAACAACTTCCTGCTGATGTTATTCCCACCACTGATGTTTATGCATCAAGGCCTGATAAACTCCCCTTAGGTAAGGTTTTCTCTTTAATACACACACACACACACACACACACACATATTACGGAAAGGTTTTGTTTATTTTTTTTAATTTCTATTTTGCTTCATAATGGACAAGGCATGTTGGATTATGGATGTTAATCAAGCTTGAAAATCTCTTCTTTTGGTAGCAAAACACTTGGGTTGTGTTTGGTTAGTTTTTTAAAACGAAAAGGACATATATAAAAACATGTTTGGTTGAAGGATGGAGATCGACGTGTTAAATTTATACAAATTTGAGATAATTTTGAAACGAATTACCTTCGTTTCAAAACAAACAAAGTTTATAGTGGGGACATATTGTCTGTATTCCAACTATCTGTGTTTGTTCGGAGACAATCTTTAGATGATTTTAAAGGCGGGGAGGCAAACGAGTGGTTTTTCTTTTCAAATAGAAGCAAGGATGATGGCACTATTGCACTGGATGGTGGCTACTATGAAATCGATCCCGAAGGTGCTGGCCCGATCACATGGGAGGGAAAAATTGTTGGTTATGTAAAGACTCTGAATTTCTATCAAGGAAGCTCACCTAATGGAACTGAAACTGAATGGATGGTAGAGGAGTTCAGAGTCAATCCTGAGTTTGTTCCACTTAACAACAACGACCGTAGCACTCAAGAAAAGGTAATATAATTCACATGAACCTACACCGTATTTCAATGCATCTGTAGGAAGTACACTTCAATTCGTCTAATGATGCTTTAAATTGTTAATGTTCAGATAGAAAACCTTGTTGCATGCAAAATTTCTCGAGTGCAACCTGAACCTGAATGGTAGGAGCAAGTCAATTAAGAAGAAGAAAGAAAGAAGCACACGAGTGGAAAATTTGAATTCCCAGCAGGCTTTTTATAGGAATGAGCCTGTCAATGCTCTCTTCCGAGGAACAACCTAGCTCATATATTTATTTATAATAAGGAACCAAATGAATAACAAATTCTTTTCAGTGCCTCTAGTTTCTTCTCAAATTTGTTGAATGTTTCATGTCATCAACTTTTTTTTTGTTTACTAAATTTACTTGGTGGTGGATGGACTAAGCATTAGCCTGTTTTGCAAGCATTGATTATTGGCGAAACAGGTTGCACATCGTACACATGTTATGACTAGAAATTGCGTACTTGCAGATTTCAAAAATAGATTGGAGTATGCATATCTGATCAATTTACGTTTTCAGTCTGTGTACTGATTTTGCCAATTCCAAGCGTTATTAACAAGGTTCCAACCCATCTGCAGATTTTTCCAATTTCAAGCTTCATTAACAAGGTTCTAACCCATCTGCAGATTTGAATCCATGTTTTCACTGGTTACTTCTGTATAATTCTTTTGCCATTTTCAAGCTTCATTAACAAGGCTCTAACCCATCTGCAGATTTGAACTCATGAGTTGAGATTATTCTTTGACTGATAAGAGTTTAAAACTTGATTTGGATTACGGAAGGTGATCAAATGAATTTTTTGGATGTTAATCCTCAGGATTAAGTTCTTTTTTCTTTTTCCACCTTCCCTGTATTTAGAATATAGACTCTCTAGATGATCTGAAATTTGCCTCAAGAAGAAACTAGACTTGGAACTTCTGGACTATGAACTAAGAAGTGGACTCCAAACTGTTGCGAATTTGCAACAGATTGTGAATAAACGTATCCATCGATAGCCTTCCTATAGAACTTAACAAAACTTCTAACTTCAGAAAAAATAACTAATGAAGATATAATCCTAATCTGATTTGAAACCAAGTTTTGACTGATTCGAGTTGCTGTAGTTCAAGGCTGTCTCTATGACATATAAGGCGTTTTAAATTTGTACTTTCCTAGTCCATGGATACCTTCCTTTCTAATGGGTTCTATTGTTATTGAAGGAATTCTCAAATGATGATTGACTATCCCTATTTGCGCAGCATGCGTAGAAGATCTTGATGCAAATTCACATTTCAGATTTGAAAATATGATTGCTATTTTAATTCTCTTCATTATCTTAAATATGTTTATACACTTAACTTACATTCCCACGGGAATAATAAAGGGCAAGCTAGAGGGGTTTTATATGATTTATTAATGCAAAGCATGCCTTCTACATGATTTACCAGCTTGATTTATCAAGACAAATTTTTTCATGATTTAGTAACACTGTTTCTGGTAGATTTCAAATTTATATAACGTGCATTTCCATTGATCGTGGTTCATTTTTGTTTTCCTTTATGGAAAGATTGTTTGCCGCAAAATCTTGCTCTCCTGTAGATTTTGTGGTTATGCTTTTTGATGGATGAAGATTTACCTGTTTCTAAAACAAAATTTTTATTAATCCCGAGCCAAATTCAACATGCCCAATGCCCAAAATTCCTATGAAAACTCAAATTTAACGGTCCAAAAAATCTTAAAATAACTTAAATATTAGAGTTGAATGTAATATTAATAACAAAATTAAATTTATAATAAATTTGATTATCTTAATATAAAAATTAACACAAATTTATAGTTGTAGAGCACTCACTAGATATAAAAAAAAAGCTATAAATTTTAATAAAGGTTCTAAAGGTCCAACAAAAATAATCCGCTAACAAACTATAAACAAGAAAAAAAAAATAATGAGAGGGTGAGTTTAACAATTTAGTGAATATATAACATTCAATATAGATAACAAAATACAAGAGTTAATACAAATTCATATTTGTGGAGCACTAACTAAATATAAATAAAAACTATAAATTTCAACAAAAAAACAAGTTTTGAAGGTTCAACAAAAATGATCCACTAACAAGTTATAAACCCTGAAAAAGATAAATAATAGGGAGTGAGTTCAACAACTTAGTGAATAAATAACATTCAATATAGATACACGAGATAATACAACAATAAGGAATATATAATTTT